CCGAGGAATGTTTCCAGCACCTTCTTGAATCTAATAAAGTGAATGGCAAGTGCACAGCTAATTCAGTAAGTGTAAGGAAATAAAAGCTGAAACCACTTCTGGTTTTTTCCTGTAAAACACCTCCGACCAGCCTGATGGGGAAAAGTCACAATTCCTGTGTATTTACTTTTAAATCCGGCTGCAAGATGCACCATTTAAACATTAAAACAGCATCTGAATGGTTCCACCACTCCCACTGCCAGTCCGAACAAAGGCACCAGGGCTGAACCTGTCATTAGTCTTGTGATATGAAGTTTAAACACGCAACCTTCCACCACGGCAGCAGTTCACACTTCTGCATAACTTGTTTTTCCAGGCGATTAAAAGTTTTAGCAAAGACAGTTTGGACAAACGCCAGCAACGGCTACGACTCACTGCACCGCTAATCTGAGCAAGAAATCAGCAGCTACATCTCTAACAGATGCATTTATAACACTTTATAACAGTTTAATTATGTACTGGATTTATTAGACCAATAAGATTGCTGTTTGTACTGAGGTGTTTTATAGCCTCTCCTGGTTTTTGTACCCTTAAGAGCAGTTTCAAAAGATCATGTGACTCTTTTTTCCCCATTTCCTTATTACAGTTTGTTTGGGACTCGTCCAGCAAACTGAAACGAGTTCTCCAGGAAGAGTTTGAATAACACAGTAAGCCAGACATGACTCAGTGAAGCTCCCGTCATCAAATTCTCATCCAAACTGCTTACGATGCATTTTATGTTGGAAAAAACATCTATCCAGAAAATGCTTAATCTGAACCATTTCAAGGTTTTCTGGAAATTGAAGCGTTATTTTCACACACGCCCACTTGGTATGGCTAACGGTTATTCCACCTGCCAAGACCGTTTTATTACATTGACCTTCCACGAGCTCTGGCTGATAAACCTGATAACATACACTTATTTTAAAGTAATAAAATAAGTGTATGTAGAAGTTCATTTTCAACAGAGGATGAAACGAGGCCAAGCACAAGAGAAAGAAGGATTATTTTGAAATGTGACTCGTGTAAAGCTACTCTTTTAGACTCCAAGAGTAAAAACATGGAGCTGGAAGTGAGCAGATTAGATCCACTTCAGTTGTAGTGGTTTACAAGTTCACCTAAAAGAGGTTTGGGCTGTTTGTCCACAAACAGCAGGTTTACGATGGTGCTGTTGTGAAATTCGAGTTTTTAAATCAACCACTCCTTTTAGGTGAGTACAGAGATGAGGGCTTTAAAAATGAATTAAAGGCACCTGTCAGCAGCAGAGAAGTATTTACATGACTCACAGTTCGAAATAACTCTTATTTGTCTTATACGAGCCTTTGGTGCAGACCCCGAGTTGCCCCTCTGCCTGACATAAGCTGTTTCTGGTTTAGCCCCTCCTCCATTAAGCAAACTTTCTCTTGATTGGCTGGTGCTCATAAACATAAGGTTTGAACAGCAGGTGGGTGGGACTTCTCTGTAACACAGAACCATCATCAGTAAGAACAACTGAAACAGTGTTTAGAGGCCTTGGCTCTCAGGGTCCACCTGGAGCATAGTACCTGTGTATATTACAAGAAATAAGGAAAAACACAACAGTTCCCCCCATAGAGAAGTGGTTTAACAACCATTAGAACAGTTTCCAGGGTTTTTTTTCCAGGTGTAGCTGCATAACCCTTTAAAACCAATGGGAGCGGGCACGCTCTGTTTTGCGTAACTATTTTTAAATCCTTGTAGCTCTGCAACCACAATAATTTTGCATATGAAACCGGAGGAGTTGTACTTACATCTTATGCCATCAGCTTGCCCTCGGTCACGTTTTCCTTCCACATATAGCTTTGCAAAAACTGCATAAAAAGCGCTTGCAGCAACAAAAACATAAGATTCCAGAAACACGCTTTGCTGATCCGATCAGCTGTTCATAACACTTCCTACATTGGAATATACGTCAGCGCGAACTATCGCATGTCCGCCATGACCTGTCCGAAACCGGAAGTGACGTCATTTTCCCTCAGGGCCTCATGAGCCTATACTGGTGTTTTTAAAAGTTATCTTTGACTTTATGACTTTCTGTGTCGTTTCTGGGATGCTTAGGACTCATATTGCACTGCTGGAAATAGTTTATTTTGATGCATATGCTGCTTTTTTGCAAATTTGCACTATAATATTTATTTTCGTTTTTCCTGCAGTATATAAAAATTGGTGTATTTCAAAAATAAAACTATGAAGACACTCAAAATAAATTTCCTGTGGTGGGAAACTATTTTGTGCAACTTTTTTGTATTTACAGTTTTGAGGGATAAGCCTCTTAAATTTCTCTAACTAGAAATATATGTTAAAAAACAAAAACGATTTTCAATTTTTCTGTAGTTTATTGCACTTTCTTGCAATTTATGTAATTACTATGCACTTAATGCAGACATATTATTAAAATCTGGGCTATAATGGTTGCATTGATGTATAGCAACTTGAAATGCTCCCAAAAATGGCTCCACAGCATGTAAAAATATAACATCAGCT